TTTACCTGGCTCTGCATGTGTATGTACGTTGTGTTCAGTCTTCTCAAAAAACCTTTAGCTTTCCATAGTTTGCATGGTCAGCTCACTGTGACCAATCCAACCAAGGGCACGTGCATTCCGATTGAAAATCTGCTTCTCAATGTCCTTTCTCTTCTCTCACATTAGTGTGACAAGTGGTGAGTCAAAATTGGCAAAAAATTATATGTATTAAGACACGACTAGCCAATCAATGCACATTTGAGACTTCTTATTGCTTGAATAATAAAAAAAGACCAGAATGCTTCCATTAAGCCAAATGCTAAGACCAGCTGAAATGCTGCTATACCAGGTGCATGTGAGATGAGCTGAGCATAGCACACTTCTGAGGAAGTGAATGAAACAAAATGACATCATAGGTCTGGGCTAATTAGCCATAATAACAGACCTATACACATTCAAGCCCTGCCAGCACGGATGCTATCATTATCATGCTAGTGTTCAGTTAGTGTTAGATGCCCTGGGCACTGCACTAATTATGATGAACCATATGAGCCATAGTGTTGGCGTGTTGGCATCCAACTGCAGTGCTAGTCCATTAGCCTTCCATTAGCCAGTGCCCAAGGTCAGGGTGTTCAGCAACATGTTCATGCTAATAGTGGGAAGAACAATAATAATAATTTTAGAAAGCAAGCATGACCTAAATTTCTACCTCAAGAGAAAGTTGGATATGACTTTTATGGCTTTGAATCACTGCAGGTCATTATTATGCTAGTTTATAAAACTAAAACAAGGAAGCGAATAAGGAACGTACTAAAAAGAAATATGGAATACCCTGCTAGAAAAACCAGCACAGACCAGCATAGGTGGTCACCAGTAAAACCAGCATATGTTGTGTTTTGGATGCTGGTATGCTGGTCAGCCAGCATGACCATGCTGGGTGACCAGCTAAACCAGCACCAGACCAGCACCAGACCAGCTTGTGATATAATAACTACCTAATGTGGAATAATGAATGATATTACACAGAGTGTGGGACTTTCCTCAGTCAGTTTCCACCCCTCTCTTTCCCCTCAGTCTTGTTATTTTGGTCACTGTGTCTTGTTTGTAACCTCACCCAGTAATTGTGCTCAGGTCTTTCTAGTTGGTGTTTCTCTGTATATACCCCACGCTGTTGTACTAGGTGTGTCTCAATTCACTCGTTAGCTATGAATGTAGTGATTCATTGCATAGTGAATATGAATTTGGTCACTGACTGATTTGATTAAAAGTTTAAATCATTTTGTTTTGAGTACCTCTATACCTTAATTATGATGAAGGATTGTTTTGTTAGTGACAAAATGAAGTGTTCAATCATAACGCTACCAAAACCTACATTACCTGATTTATGACTGTTTCAGTAGTGACAATTTTCACTACTTTTGAATGTTATTCAAAAATGCTAGCCAGTATATGACTAAATAAACACAGCTTTGAACAGTTCTACCCACAAAAAAAATCATTATATTTTTATTAAAACGCAAAAAAGAAAATATGTGTTTCAGAAGTGACAACTCTCAAGGTTACACACTGATTTTCAGACTTTGGGGCACAATTACTTCAAAACAATGAGCTCTAAGGGATGCAGTCTCACTTCCTGCTCTAAAATGCATGGGTTTGGCTTGAATTAGGTTCTGCCTACAAACTAAAATTCTTTGTGTTTCGGTAGTGACATGAAAATGTCGGACAGTATTTTTTATGTTATGTAAGTTTTTTTTATTTAAAAATATAAGTCAAAATCTTTCTTGTTCTTTTTGAAAACAACATTGTAAAATTTGCCAAAAGATAAATCAATATTTTCACAAGTTAAAATGTAGGAGTCAGGGTTTGAGACAGACAAACTGCCCAATAGAAAGTAATCTATAAATGATGATTTTGTATATGTTTAATTTAGTACTATCTCTATTAATGCATTGGGTTGAAATAGATCATTACATAATCCTTATTATATCCATAAACATACGGGAACACAGTTTGAACTAATTTGATAAAAAGGTCCATACAGACCTACTTATATTTTCTGTGCATACAGATCCTTCCAAAATTACATGCATGTTGATTTATAGAGATGTAATAAAATCCATTCTACTAAGTTTATTTATGAACTTTCAACAGTTGCTGCTGAGAATTCATCCTAAAACATCACATTTATCAGGGTTGATTGTACCATATTCACAGGCAGGTTGCTGACCAAAAGTAACTGGAATTTAACGCATCATGACTGTGAGAATGTCCGTTTCGAACAGTTTCTAAAGTTCTGCTTCAAACACAAGAGTTTCAAAAGGATAAAAACGCCTCGCTCTTTTCTACCACCACCAGTGTTTACTTCCCTCCATCAATACGGACTGCAAAAAAACAACCTTGCAGCTCCCGTTATCATCTGTCTCATCAGCTGCCACAATATATCAATCAATATACTGGAAAGTATAGCACTTTAATAATGAATGGCATGGTCTAAAGTATTCAGATGATCCATAGGTGGTTCAAAGTTGGTGACATTAATACAGAAGATATGCAGGGTTTTTTTTAATGTTATATTTTATTCAGAACCTGCTCGGTGGAGACGTCCTATGGGAGCCCAATTCTCTCTCATCATCAGGAAACCTCAAGTCACAGTCTTTATGTAAGTGACACAGTTCACATGTTAAGCACAGACTGAATGAACTCGAAATAAACCCTACAAGTGGGCTGTTATGTTAGCGCTCTGATGCTGCTGAGTGTAGGTGGTATTTATTCAGAGACTAGCATACGTAGGAAGGGAACTAGGTCAATAGAACAACAGAGCTTGGCAGAGCTAACTGCTAACTGCCATAAACAGAAATTACAGAGATGAAATGCTAAACCACTGTGTAGTTCACTGTACACCAACAGTAACTTTACCGTTGATCAAAGAAGGAACTACAGAGCAGTAAAATACAGCATGTTGAAGTCAGGATTAAGCTCAAATTTCAGCAAAGTGGTGTAAATAGGTTTTCCTGATGGAGATTAGCTAGAATTAGCAAAAACTACTCAACTACTCTTCCTTGCAGTGACTCATTTGACAAGCAGAGCCTTATTTACTAAAGGAAAAGTCTAGGCTCTCTAAAAATGCACATTTAATGAAGTATTTTTCCTTCAAGCTATTCCTCTTAGAAGATTTTGATCAGTGTGATGAAATACCTGAGAAACTGCTTTCTGCTAAGTTTTTAGCTGAATGTATGTACTGTAGTAATATTGATATTAGCGATAAGATGGTTAAGATAAGATGGTTAAGATACGTTGGAAAAAAATGTTTGATGCATCGAACCATGGCATTATTACTTCCTTACACCAACTTTACATCGACTTCAAGAAAATGCCTATTTATTTATGGCGATAAAAGTTGGAAGTGTTGTAGCACAAATAGTTTTAGCACCGAGATTAAAACTACATAAAATGCTTCTAAAAAGTACAAATCTTAATAAGTGGAACAAGTTATCATTTTAACTGTGAAAAAAACAGAAGCAGCATGTAAAAGATTTGTATTTTAATGTTCATGTTGCAAAATGTACAGATACTTGATTTTCTCCAGAACAATTCCGATTTACCACAAGAGGGCGCTATGAGCACTCAAGCAGCATTGTTTCTGCATTTTTGAGTGCGAGGAAGTCAGCACCAGAATTAATGCATGTAGGTTAAAATCATAAATTTCAAAAACTGGAAGGGAAAAAGTTTATTACCTAAACGTGCAGCTTAACGTTATTTAATATGTCATTTTTTATTTAATTGGCTTATTAAATAGTACATAGGCTAAAGATAAGTATATAGAATAAGCTCACGATTCCAGAAAAAAAAACTTTTGGGATAACATTTTTTTTTGCAGGCAAGCTGTAAAATCCCACATCATTGCTGGCTTTAGTATGACATTACAGCCCCAAACTAAACAAATGTTGAGCATTTTCTACAGTGCAAGTCCCTTTGTTCACAAACATCTGGATGTGTTTTCTAGTCTTCATACTACTTGATGGACCACAATTATCATAAACTCTAGAACTTAACCTGCATCACAGCTTGCATGACTGCACTGAGCAGATGCCTTGGCCAGTGGGGAAAGGTTTGGTTTTGCACACACCACATAGAACAGCTCAGGAAAAAACTCACTATGAATAACTGACTACGACTTCCATGAGCACTTTTGACTCGACAAAATATTATTGAATGGAGATGGACACACACAGACACGAAGATGCATAACCCAAAGGAGCAGCAATGCCTCTGTTTAGTGGTGGCATTCTACTGGGCGCAGTATATTACTGCACACTATACATATACATAGTAGGCACAGCATTACAGCTGTCAAATATGGCTTGGAGGGACAGATCCGTGGAGACATGGGTATAACATCTGGCTAAAATGTGTCTCAGGCCTCTTATTGAAGTGGTTTGTTTGAATAGCTGGATTTATATCTGTTTTAAATGTATCCTGGGTGCATTTAAACCTGCAAATTAAACCTGCATTCAAACCAGCGACCCTCCGGTCACAAGGCTGGTTCCCTAACCTCCAGCCCACGACTGCCCCAGACCTAAATTCTGCTCATTTTAGTGTACAGTTTCGATGTAGCTGCTGAGTTTAACATATTGAAAACTGAAAAACATTAAAAGAATAGAAAAATGTGACATAACTTTTGCACAGGCCACATTTTATGTGCAGATGTGTGTCCCCTGCACAGGATTTATTAACATATTTTCAAATAGAAAACCAACAAAACATGTAATTTAAATGAAGTGCCAAAACTTTTACATATGAGTGTAAGAATGTAGCTTTTAAATCAGACCAAATGAGGACTGAACAAATCAGGAACAAACGCTTCCCCCTGTGTGCAGTGCAAAACAAGAGAGAAAGCGTTTTACTAACTCCAAGTAAAAACTATCTGTCCTATTACATATTTCTTTAAAAGGCCTGCTAAAAGAGAGCCGTCTGATGGACATTTTAAAGGAAGGTGGTTATTCAATCATGACTTCACTGACCTTTCTAAAAAGCTTTCATCTTCGCCTCGAATTAAACGGACCTCACCACTGCTGGTAGCCATAATGCATGGGTTGAGACTGCATGGCTCTATTTCTGTTCCTCGCTGGATAAAACCTATGATCTCCACTGTACAAGCTGTTCATGGAAAAGTCCTGTGATCCACACCCACAGGCTCTTCTCCTTTCGCTGATACTTCTGCTTCCCACTCACCATGACATCATTTACTGTCTGATGTCTCAGCGACAATATATGTTCCCCTGGTAATGTTCCACAAAAGCGCAGGACATCATTTGTCTGGGGAGAAATAACGTGTCAAAATGCACATTGTCTAGCGCAAATGCTTCAGCTCTGACTGATGATTCATGGACAGTAAATCACTTGCCGTGTCTGTAGCTTTCAGGGTTTGGGGGATGGGGTGCTTGAAGCACATTCAGCAAATTTTGCTGCTCATAATACATCACACTTCTGATCAAAACCCACGCTGCTGTCTGCTGGATGTAGCTTGATCAGCCTGGCTCATTAGTTTCTCCAAGCATTCGCATTAGCTCTGTGGAATCCAAATGGATTTGAACAGCCATACAAAGGAAGCTGGTTAGCATGAGTAGGAGGAATAAGATAACATTACAATTAGCCAGCCCTGAGTCAATCTGATGATCTACACACTTGAGAGAGTTGTTCAAGTCCAGAAGTATCTCAAAGCATTAGCTTTGAGAAACTTCTAGCTAGCTCCCTGCTAGAAAAAAACAGCATAGGTCAGCATAGCTGGTCACCAGCAAAACCAGCATATGTTGTGTTTTGGATGCCGGTATGCTGGTCAACCAGCATGATCATGATGGGGGCTCAGCTAAACTAGCACCAGACCAGCATATACCAGTGCAAACCAGCTTGGACCAGCATGAAATTGGTCAAAATGGCTTATGGATAGCTAACTTGATAAAGTTATTTCCAGCTACTCCCATGAATTTGTTTATCACTAAAGTACATCTAGTCTGAAGTGTAATTTACAAGCAAAACACACCCCTAATGTGAAAAAAACTGTGCTATTGCAGCAGTATGGGTAATCTGCAGACTACACTGGACAGTGCCTGTAAGAAAGAAACTAAAAAAAGGAATAGCAAAGCGGAAAGCTAAAGTTCACACAAACATATCATTATGATATGAGGATAGAGTCCCAGAGCAGCTGGAAAATCTAGTCACTGTTGCTCTCACTGGAGGCTGGTGATGAAAAATCATATTCATGTTGTATTTACATGAGTTTTATGTTCAGTTCATGTATGAACCTGATGCTGCTTCCAAATAGTCCCTTATTAAAACCCACTGTGGTTGAACATATCAGTAAACAACAGACAGATAGCAATAAAATGCTTTTACTGTAAAACATTACCAAAGCTGATATTCATGCTAACAAAGTAGGCACTGAGCATTACCCTTTAACACGTCCACATCACATTACCCTTACCATTTCCCCCCTTTCCAGTCCCTGATACTGTCTTAAGGCTTCTATTACTGTATTAGCTCAAAGTGACCCCTTGGAGCAGTGAGGAATCAGATCAACATAAATGTAGAATTCAGGGCAGACTACTCATCCATTTTGTCCATTACTTACTATTTCAAAACGACAACATATAATTTAATGCATTCAAAGCCTGGGCTTTGCGATAGACGATTTGTTTACTATGCTACCGTGCTAGTTAGCAAGCTAAGAGCTACACAACTAGCAACAAAAAAAAACTATACTATGGTTCTTTTTTTAAACCAGAAGAAAAGCAATTGTTCACAAAGTCAATGTACACCATGCTTTGACTTCTAAAGAATGGTTTGCTTTAAAAAAAACTGCTTAGCTAGCTCATTAGCTCACTGATGTTAGCCAAGTCAAGAGCAAGTGCATTCCTTTTTAAAAACTTAAACCGCTCACTGCCCCATGCGTGCAGGTGTCCTTATTGTATCATATTGAGACGTCTACCATGTAAAGAGCTGACGGAATATGAGGACCTGAAAATAAGAGGCCGCTACACTCCTGTTTGATTTTGTTTTTGCTGCTAACTTGCTAGCCTTCCGCCCAGTGACAGTTGGGATAGGCTCCAGCACCCTGCCGTGACCCAGGAGGATAAGCGGTTTAGATGATGTGTGTGTGTGTGTGTGTGCGCTAACTTGCTGTGACTGTACTGACACTGAAATCTCTTTCTGAAGCATGAATAACAGCCATTGAACTTCAAAACTAAGCTAAATGAACAAGTGACCCATATTTTTGTTCTCGCACTGCATGACTGGAGCTTCTACCATACAGAGATGCTTGTATGCTCCAACGCTTCTAATTCAATACAGCAGCCTAGCCTGCTGGTAGAGACAGAAGAACAAGCCTGGCTTCCACCTGACTCCAGATCAGTCTGAACACTCAGCACCATCACATTACTGCCTTGTGACCAGCAACAAGGATGCACATGACTGCATGTTTTGTCCATGCTCATTCCAGCACAGACGTTTTGTGTGCTATTTTGGATTTTGTCACCCCACCTTCCTTTGAACTTAATTCTTTTAGCCTTTACACAAGTTAAATCTACACTTTTTCAGTCCTGTGGGACTTCACAAGTTTATATCCTTACAAATAATTAGAAGGAAAATGAAAAGAAAGAAAGAAAGTGACGTGTCCTGAATTATGTACAGTGCTGCAGATGATTCTAAAATGACATGAAGTTATCATAAAATTAATATCCATAATGCCTTGTATCTCAAAAACAACAGTCATATCTTGAGGCAGATAACATCAAATATTTACAATAAATACATAATTACAGTATATTGTTTTTGAATACATTTTGAATGTGTGTGTGTGTGTATATGTGTGTGTATATATATATATATATATATATATATATATATATATATATATATATACACACACATACATACATACATACATACATACGTGTATATGTGCCAAAACATTATGACCACATGCTAACACCTAATATGATGTTGGGTCTCTGAGTGCCGCTAAATACAGCTCTGACCCAATTACACCTGGACACTTCATGTGATTAGTATCTCGATTGTATCCTGATAAGAAATTAACCATATGCATTTACACTAGTAGTCAATTGCATCTCTGGTTAGATGACTGAAATCTAATTGTTGTGGCAGGTGGAATATGCAAATGCCCTTGTTATGTGGAAGCCTTTCTCCTAAAGATTTCTCCTAAATATCTAAAGATGTTTAGATATTTGTTTGAATTTTACACATTTCCTGTAAGTCATCTGCATTTGTTTTGCACAGTACTGTCTGTCCATATTGCTATTAAGCATTTCGTTTCATCTAGTCCTCAACTATGTGTGTCCTCAATGTTTATCAAGGTGCATTTTCCTGCTGAAAAAGGCCACTGCCATCATGGAACACCACAGCCATGAAGAGCTATACCTGGTCCGCAACCATGTTTAGGTGGATGGCATATGTCAAACTGACACCCACATGAACAGTGTCCAGAGCATCAAACTCCCTCTGGATTGTCTTCTTCCCACAGTGCATCCTGGTGACATCACTTCCCCAGGTGAACAGCGCACACGTACCTAGCTGTCCATATGATGTAAAAGGAAATGGGACTCATCTGACCAGACAATTTTCTTCCATTGCTCCAAGTCCAGTTTCGATGCTTGTGTGCCCATTGTAAGTTCTTTCAGTGGTGGACAGTGGTTAGCATGGGTACTCTGACCGGTCTGCGGCTACACAGCCCCATACGCAGCGGAGTGTGATGCACCGTGTGTTGTGACACATTCTTCCCATAACCATCATTAAAACTTTTGTAACTTGTGCCACAGCAGCTCTTCTATGGGTTCAGACCTCACGAAATAGACTTCGTCACCCTCAAACATTGATGGAAGCCCAACGTCCTGTCACCAGTTAGTAGCTAGTCCCTCTGAGGGACCACTGTTGATCGGAAGCACCCCACAAGTCTTGCCATTTCGGAGATGCTCTGACCCAGTCATCTGGCCATTACAATTTGGCCCTTGCCTGCCAATTTTTCCCACATCAAACATGCCAACTGTTCAATGACTGTCTAATATAACCCAGACCTGCTGTTTTTTGCTTTATCTGTGAGTGGTCATAATGTTTTGGCTCATATTAGTATATTTTCAGTGTAGAATTTCACATCCTAGAGTAAAATATACATAAAGCACAACAACAATAGAAGAAACTATGAGTATTCATTTTAAAGACAATGACACAGATCAAATCAAAAAGATAAATGCCATAAGAGAAATTTTATTAAACACCAAGCGACAAAGAAGCGTTTTCAAATGTTTCTTAAAAGTGAGCACTGAGCTTGACTGTCTAATAAAAGGTGGAAATATAGTTCCACAGTTTAGAAGCAGAATAACAGAAAGAGGCCTCTCCACGTTTTTTTATGGAAGGTATTTGCAGAATGCCAGTGTCTGCAGATCACATGTTGGAACATAAACAGACACTCTGTGATGTAAATGAGTGCTTTAGGGTCATTTAGAGCCTGAAAAACAAGTAGCAGAACTTTAAAATCTATTTTAAAATATACAGGTAGCCAGAGCAGTTTGTAAAAAACGTAGGCGATATGAGCTCTGAGTTTTTGTTAGGATATGTGCTGCTGTATTTTGTATGACGCACTAAATTCTTTCCTGAATAATCACATTTGAATCAGATCATTGTTAGATCGGACGTTTACATCCCTAGCTCGCCTGTACATATTACCTCACGATAGACATGCATCACCACAAAAACCTATAAACCCAACTGATCTGCTCACAGCATGAATCATCATATACTCACAGTGGAGGGAGGAGCAGCTGCGGAGCCAGTGAAGATGCTGACACATGCAAAGGAACCACAGATCAGTCACTTCAACAGCCACTGCGGCCAGACCAAACGCTCCAGTCTAAACTCAGGGAAAAAAAAAAAAACAAAAACATCTAATCAAAACCACATATCGAAACACACACTGAGTGCAGTGTAGTCTCCATTAAATCGCATTTCAACATCTCTATCAGTGCTGCCGCCCGCAGCTGTTTAATACCAAAGCTTCCACCTCGCTTCCCTGAGTCGAAATCAACAGGAGCTGGCCTCTTTAAAAATACTCCTACTGTGCTGAGGTCTGAAATGCCGATTTTCTCA